TTTGGAGTGATGGCGTTTGCCTTCCCAAGTCACCATTACGTATGATGGAGCCCTGCTTTCCTGGGGATGGCTGCACACCCGCCTGCCGATGGGAAGCAGTGAATGGATTCCTTGTTTTGCTTTGCTTGTGTGCGCGGCTTTTGCTTTACCTATTAAACTGTCCTTATCTCAACTCGAGTTTTCTCACTTTTACTCCTCCGATTCTCTCCCCCATCCCACCGGGGGGGAGTGAGCGAGCGGCTGGGTGGGGCTGAGTTGCCGGCTGGGGTTAAACCACACCACTAGAGCAGTTGCCCCATAGCAGCAAGACGGATCTGCTGGAAAGCTTGCCACAGAAACCTTTTGAAAACTTAGTTTTTCAACTGGAAGTTGCAACATGCATTTTTGAAGCAAGTTAACAAATAACAATAAACCATTTTTTTTCCAAAAGACACTACTTCTGCATGTTCAAAGGTGGATTACTACAATGCTGTACAGCACAGCAATACTGCCACTTTAGTTTACAAATGGCCCAATGCAGTCATTCCGGATTCCACACAGCCAACGCACTCCTCAGAAATCCGAAGTTACAGGCCTGTAGGGAAAACACCTCATTACGTACAGACAAACTGCTACTGACGCAGCGACAGCTTTACTGTGCATTTGTTGAAGATGTACAAATACAGCACACTAACCTTCCCTTTGAGTGTCCGTCTTGATAAGCACATGCATTAATTACGTCTGACAACTGCCATGACCCACACACACTTACCTTTGCAAGCAAAAGACCCTCCTAAACTAACTTCTTATTTTTAAGCCATGGGGAGACACTTCGTTTTCTATTCACGGCAGTCTTACTTAAATAACACCACTTGAGGTTTAGCTACAACTAAAGCTAATTAGGGAATGCTCTTTCAACTGCGTTCAATGATGTCCACTTTGGAGTCAACTATATCAGACAGCAGCAAATTCCATTGTGTTCCTTTACCACAACTTACAGATTTGCCAAGAGTCAGAAGTAACTAATGTTTCCCCCAATTCAGCTCACAAGAAAGTAAAAATCATTAATTCCTTTAAAAAGATACTTTTAAAAGCTGCTTGAGCTTGCCTTTATGCCCCAGTAAGTTTTCCCTTCAAGAGAGCAGAATACTTGCATCATATTTATAGTTCTTTCAGGAACTCCAACTAAATTCGGTCCTTTTCAAATGAATTTCTTGCCTCAGCATTTGTTTCAACACAGTGCTTGGGAGTTCGCAGCCATTAAGTAACTTTGAACTGCAGAAACCGGGCATCACGTCTGCCTTGTAGAACTCAGGATGTACCCTCTTACAGCACCTTCTTACACACATAAGAGCCGACATATTAGGAGTGAAAGTATTAATCTAGAAGGTCTCCAGATTAATTTCTGTATAAGAGGACTAAAGGTATCAAGTGAAGTTCTTTAATGCTAAAGCAGAAGAGGATACCGAAAAGCTAGTGGAAGTATAGCTTTCTGGCAACTATGCTAGTTGCATGAGCAATTGCGTGAACAACTGCAGAGATTTCTAAGACAAAACTTTTACAATCCTGGGCGAAGAATTCATTTTGTAAACATAGCTATAATTTTAAAAATCTAATCAACAAAACAGCTATGGTGCCAGTTTCTGCTCAAACAAAGGAGACTCAAAACAATACACGATCTTCAGCCACTTGTCTGGAGTTTGACAAACTTAAAATTAGTGAACATACACTAAACAGATGTGGTTGTCTGTAGCAGAAGTTGCCAACCTTTTATCTGCATTCAAGCTAGTTATGAAAAATAAGGTATTTCACTATTTCTGCAGCATAATCTAAAACTACATGCCTTGCATACTTAAATGAATTTCAGTATCTCTTCACAGTAATCAGCTTCATTTGGATCAGAACAACAATTGTAATAGACCCTGATCTCATTAGCCCTTGCCCAAAGCTTAATTTACATCAATTTAGGTGAAGGGAGCACAGGATTAGTCCTCTTCCACAAGGCTGTTCCTCATCTCATTGACAAGACAGTTGGTTTGGTCCAGTTCCCTGCAATAAGCATATTTAAACATTCCGCGAGTCCTTCTGAACCCTTGCAGTTCCCCACTCTCTACTGCATTTATGTGTTACTACCCCAAAACAGGTAAGGTCAACAACAGGGAAGAACTACAGCTATTTATACTATGCTAAAAAACCAAAAAATATGGCGAAAGCG